ACTGAAAAATTACAAACAAAACAAGCAGCTCGAAGATGAGAAAATCCAGCTTCCTTTCCCAAGGTTTCAAATTCTTTTTCTGTCCATTCTTTTCCTTGCGGACTCATGCTTGTTATGAACAAATAATCCTGTAGCATGCTTTTAGCTTTAATATTGGTTTCAGGGGTTTCTGGAACTACCACATCCACTACTATAACTTTTCCGTTGTCTGTTAAAGCTTCATAACAATTCTTTAGCAGTTTTAGCTAGTGCTCATCATCCCAGTTGTGAGTTATCCACTGTTCCATTCAAAAATATCATTTCAGTTCCGCAACAGACGTATGTAGCTAACAAATTGTTAAAACTTCACTAGTATCAAATCTTATTACCTGCATGACAATGGCATCTCCTCCTTTAAGAATTGTTACGAATCCGTCCCCCGCGACATGCTCAGTTCCTACAGAACAAAACTTGTTCAGACTGCTCAATTTTGTACACTTGAAGTAAATGATCAAACAACTATATCCATGCAGTTTTCCTACTTGTCGCGTTTCAACTTCAAGAATAGGCAAGCATCCTTTCGATTTGTGAGTAATAAGTTATAAAAGATCAAAACAAAAGATCGATACCTGGGTAGGATGGTGAGCTTTCCACAACTGAAGCCAAATCATAGTTGACACCCTTAATTGCAGGGTACTTGGTAATGATCATGTTAAGGATAGAACCATTGCCACCAACCACATCCACCAAGCATTTTATACCTTCAAATCCATCATATATGTCCAGAATTGTCTCCATAAATGTAACGCTGAAACTTTTCATGGAACTGCTGAATAGCTAACAAAATCTTGCATCTTTTTTTAGATATTCTGCAGAATATGGGCTTCCGGGTTGTTTTGTGTGGGAAATTGAGCGACAATATCTGAAGCTGAGAGCAAGGGATCAGGACCGGCCTTTTCTATTATCTCAAACACACCCAGCTCTATTGCTGCTTTCAAAACCAGAGGCAGCACTGATGCACTTGAAAGTTGCATAGCATACTGGAGATGATAGTCTTCCTCATAGGTTGAGATTGCCATTTGTTTTTGCTTGCAATAGGCAAAGGAAAGGTGTTATTAACCCATCAATATTGCTAGTAAAACTTTCCACGGTGAATTCTATCTCCATCCACAGTAAAAAAACCACGGCTTTTAGTTCGTTAATAAAAGAAGTACAGACAGCTTGCCATTTAAGACTTCTCCATGTGAAGACAACCGCTATCACGTCTCTTCAATTGTTTTTTTATACAAAATGAAGAACTTTTGACTGGACACTTGTCTGCCAAGTCCGATGTTTTGTAGTTCTATGTGGAATGCTCAAATTTATTTTTGTTTTTGTTTTTGTATTTGTATTTAGTATGTTTTAAAATTATTTTTTCGCTTAAGAAAATATTAAATTATTTTTTTAAAATATTATTTTTTTAATTTTAAAATACTATTAGAAAAATTAAAAAAATATTTTGATGTATTTTAAATAAAAAATATTTTTAAAAAGTAATATGTACCACACCATTAAAATTTAAAAAAATTAATGCACTTAATAATTTAGAACATAAAATAATAAAGAAAACTTTGAAACAACATCTTTTGAATCAAATTCAGCCATGATCTCAATCTTGGTTATCGTTGGCCTGCTAACCACATACACAATTGAGCTCATACAAAGTGTCATAACCCAATTTTGGCCATTTGGCTTTTAATTTAATTTTTACAGGATTTAAAATGAAAAATTAAAAGATCAGAGATTTATTTCGATGAAAAGTGTGATTTGTCAATTTTCATGAAAATTAAGGACTATAATGTGCCTTTGTCATTCTAGCCTTATCCTCAAGATAATCCTTATCTTCTTCAAGATAATCCTTACCTTCAAGATAATCCCTATCTTCTTCAAGATAATCCTTACCTTCAAGCTAATCCTTACCTTCTTCAAGATAATCATTATCTTCTTCAAGATAATCCTTACCTTGTTCAAGATAATCCTCAAGATAATGATAGTTATCTGCTTTCAAATTCGATTCTAATTCAAACTTCAAAAAAGAGAATGAGTTTGATTGAAACTTGGTTTCTCACACATGAAGGGACTCTGACATTATAAATACAGATCTCAAGGGCAAAGAAAAAAATAAGGAGGAACCCGAAAACAGAGAATTAACCCAGAAAAACAGAGCAAAAGAAAGAAAAGAAGGAGGGAGGACGATTAAAGAGAAACCCTAAAAGAAAAAACCTTAAGAGGAGGCCATTACCAAAAACCTTAAAAGAGAGAAACATAAAAAAGAAAGGGGCGGCGAACCCTATACTAGCCGTCGCCCCACTCAATCCTTTTTCTTCCCAGTCTCCCTCGACTTCGCCTTCAGCAGCCACATGCTTAGGTAAGTTTCCTTCTTTTCTTGCTAAAATAATTAACTGGTCTGTGTTTGCCAGGGGTGTGCTTGGAAAAAGAAGGCAGAGAGAAGGAGGACTAGAGGGACACCAAGAGGAAAACAGAGAAAGAGAAAATAGCATCAGCAGGCCGGCCCTCCACTGTCATTATCATCTTTAATTGCAGCACCAGGTAAGTTGCTCTTTCTCTTCTTGCATTTTAATTACATGCTTCCTGTAGCAGACGTGTGTGAGCAGTTCACGCACGCCTGCTGGTAAATATATAAAATATGAAAATAAAAAAAATATGTATGCATGAATAAAATTAATATAAATTTATTGGTTTATTTACTGACGCTAGAGTTAGGAATAAAAATACCGATTTAAATTTATATTATTTTTATTCATTGTATTTTATTTTATTTAGCTAGAAAAATAAAAAAATATATGTGCATGCGTAAAAAAAAAATACTTTTATTTATTTATTCACTGAAGCCAAAGTCAGGAATAAAAGGAAAAAAAGATGATTTAAATTTTTTTATTTTGATACCTACGTAATATTTACTAACGCCAGAGTTGGAAATATCCGTAGTTGAATATTCACTGGTGTCAGAGTCAGGAATATTACACACAAACAATTATAGTATAAACTAACAAAACAAAAATGTTAGCAATTAAGGACAAAGATCAGCAATGCAGCCTGTCTTAGGTAGGACGTTTAAGGGGTGATAATATCTTCTCTTTTACGTAACCAGTCTCGGACCATAGAATCTATGTTGACCAGTTAGGGTTCCTAGTAACCATAATATTAGGTGGCAACTCCTTAAACAAAGAATATCCTCATTAAAGAATAGGATGCCAGAAATCTGTTTTTTCCAAAGATTTAATAAATTTTTAAGGTCGTCGCGATGTCGGGTGCAACACAAAGTACTTATAAAATTTCAACACAATTTAATTATTAAATTAAAAATTATGTTTATTTTCATAAAAAAAAATCTTAATGTTTTAGGGTTTTTTCCTGATTTTGAACGTATGGACACTGTCGCAAAACAATCCGTTGAGCATTCAACGCTAGTCTATTTTTGTTCAAGAAAGTACTAAAATACTACAGACAATTGCCATCACTCCTCTTGTTTGTTAACTTACAAAAAGAAGACATTTAGACCTTACGACTGGATGGATAATTTTGAATTTTCTGTTCTACCACAGTCCAAGATTACGTAGTCCAGTTTGGGACGTATTCGTTGCGGTGGCTTGACCTTTCTAGCACGTTTGATTTGATAATTCTCCTATTATGTTTCCTTCTCATGCGTTCGTTTTCTAAAGCATCACAGAGACCATTTAGTCTCCTCTTGTCCTCACTCAACACTGTCTATCGAGGAAATATTTGGACGCTGCATGAAAATGGTATCGCCAGAATAGTCAGAAAGCAGTGTTATGAGTTTCCAATAACACGTGCCAAAAGTGTAAGAATCATATACAAATGTTCTTGACCGCTGCTTTCGACAGTGAAGGGTGTCAGATTTGAACGACTACATGTTAGGACTTTGGGCAGTGTATATTTCTTGTTCATAGTATTTTTTTTTAAAGTGTTGTATTTAGTTTCTAATGTCGATTACAGCATACTACTTTTTACAATATTTCCTCTTATGTTGTACAGTTTACAACATGAAAGTAGGAGTAAAAATAAAAAGAAATTTCTGTCACGGACACTTTCTTTTTCTCACCTAATTTTGCTGTCAATTTAAATTTACTAAATTTATTAATGAAATTGATGACATTACTTTTCATATTCGTTTTCCCATGTGAAAAAATTCCCAGAAATTAAATTAAATTCAAGCAAATGACCTTTCATTGAACCCCACACGTCAAACAAAAAAAAAAAGAAATTTGTGATCGAAAATTGCAACCGAAATCCTTCTATGACTAACATAAATCTAACAGAAATTTTTATTACAAAATTACATTAATATCAATTTAATTAAATTCACTTCATATAAACAAACAGTAATTTAACTAAGTAAGTAATTATATCAATAAAAAAACTTCGATATAAAGTAAACTCAATAATTTATAAAATGAATATTTATATTTATAGACTTTGATTATATTCACGAATTGAAACTCCTAAAAAATAAAATATTTTTTTGATATTTTTCTTTTATTTATGAAATTAAAACTATAAGTTTATAGATTATAAAAACAACTTGACCATCACCTGCAAACTACCACCTATATATTATTGCCTGTTAATTTTAGGTTTAAAAAGTCCTAAAAACTTAATAAAACTGTATTGTAGTGATAATTATTGTTAATTGTTGTCGTTAATCTTATTTGTAATTTGTTTTATATAAGTAATTGTATGGTACTTTCATTAATTGTCTGTAAACTAATTTTTTTTATGTATTAAATGGCATTTATTAAGAGATATTTGTTTTTTCTTGGAGAAAAGAGTTATTTAAATAAATATTTGACTAACTCTTAATTTAGCTATTAAAATTTTTTTATTTTTAAACATATGGGATATTGAAACATTAACGGTTACAAATTAAATTGAGGGATGAACTCGTATGTATTGAAAAGGAAAAGGATATATTATGCCATCATCCATAATAAAGCTCAACATTCCATGAAAACAGAAACGTTTTTATTTCAGGTAAAATATCATAACAGCTAGCATGCAACTTAAAAGGGATCAAGTGATCATATGTCACTTGCTACAAGATTCATCACCTTTTATGGTACAGTGCTTCGTAACCAAAAAAGAAAACGTTACAAAATTCTTGAGATTTATTCAAAGTAAATTGCATGCCATCGACCTCACACACAAAAAAAAAGAAGAAAAAAAGTAGAAAAGAGAGGATAAAAGCAGCATGCATCCCGAGCATATTCTAAACATAGGAACGGTAGTGGAGAAGATGTGATCAAGCAGCAGAAACTTTGAATGCGTCCAAGCGGGTGGCATCTGGAAGTCTTTGTTTCCACATTGTAGTGTAGAATTCTTCGTAGGTGTAATCTTTATAAATCAATGGATGATCATCATCGATCAATTCCTTAGGAGGCCCCATTTGAGTATCATTTGATGGATAGCAATATGAAGCGATGGATAAACGTTCTTTCTCAGAATTGACAATAACTCGATGGAGCAAACTCTTGTATCGGCAATTGCTAAGCCCCTGATAAGAAAAATGAAGATATAAAATTAGCTATATAGTCCGTCACATGTTTTATAGCATACAAGCCAAACCGGTGATTTTTCATGTTTCTTTTTTCCTTGAATGAATAATTCTAAAAGAAAGTAGATATAAAGAGAGTAAATGACCTGAAGCACGTCACCAACATGGACAATCAAGGTGTTAGGAATAGGCTTGACAGGTACCCAGTCACCATTTTGTAGAATTTCAAGCCCAGGCACCTCATCTGGCAGTAGCATGGTGAGTATAGTGGGGTCAGTGTGACCACGCAGTCCAAAAGTGAGCCCAAGATTTGACTTTTCACACGTCGGATAGTAGTTTAGAGAAGCGTATTGTCCATGGTTGTCCAATATCTGGTCTATAGATTTCCTTTCCATGCCTAAGCCCTCGAATACAGCCTCAAGTAGTGTTATCTCTGCCCTTTTAGCAGCTACACAATACTCGGATACAACCTCCCTGTAAACAATAAAATATTATAACTTAGTAATAGCTGAAAAAAGCTACTAAATTAGTCCGTCCAGATTTAAAAACACGAAATTGAATTCTTGTTTAATCTTTCCATGAAATATTACCTGTAGGATGGAGGATTTGTAGGCCATAGATTAACATAATTTTCAATAGGATGACAATGAAATTTCAACGATTCCCTCGAGACGAAGACATTCTGATTATCGTCCTTAAAGCCAGTAGCAAGCCTGATAAGGCTGGTAGGGTCAGGAGAGTATAATTTCATCCTTTCTTCTTCTGGTAGATGGAAGAACTCTCTTGCTTTGCTCATTATGTCATTCAACAATCTCTCTGAAATGCCATGGTTCTTCAGCTGATAATACGACACATTAATTATTAGAACACAGTTATTTACACTTCACAATATTTGGTCAGTGCTAAAGATGTTATAGATGCTGAAAGAAAGAGGTACCAGTGTACCTAAGAGGAATGAAAAAAAATATTCGATGATACTTTTTTGGTGCCTTTGATTGAACCGAAGAAATTGAATTAAGTTAAAATACATTTTCTCAGTGACGTTTTCTATAATAATTTTGATGGTTTCCACATGCAATACACACACACAAATGTAAGCATAGCTAGGTAACTACCATAAAGCCACCATAGTGTTGGCATGCATGGCCAAGCTGTTTGATGGTGTCAGAGCGGCGAGGACCATGAAGGCCTCCCAGGTCGATGATGGGGAGGGTACCCTCCCAGATCTCAAGCCCATAGATATCAGTTTGAACATTGGAAATGGGAATGGTGTTGGTTAGTGGAGTATTTTTGCCCCCTGCGGGTAATGCAAGGTGATCATCGGCTACTACTGCCTTTGTGGGAGCCATGACTAAAATTTGAAGTGCAGGGAAATTCTGTGGATATGTGGCTAGTGAGTGTGATGAAGAGAATCTGTATGCGTACCCTTATTTATAGGAGGAAGCAACCATCGAGGGGGCTACTGTTTTGCTGGCCCCCAACTTGGTGGTGCCAGTCCAAGTGAATTGTCATTTTATCCACCTTTTGAATTGTCTATTGGACTCGAAGATAGAAAATTATTTTTGTTGGACTACAATGAATGCCTTGCAGTTGCCGCAATGGAGGATCTCTTCGCCCTTTGATTATTGCTACAGAACTCAGGGCCGCCCAGTCTTTCAGGTTAGATTTGATCATGAAGATTCAACCGGATAAATTCAATTGATCTGTGAATTAAAACCTTGATGAAATCTAGCCTTAATGAGATATAGTCATTTTTGTTTCTCTCGTAACAACGTTGTTTTTTATTGATCTGAATGACGGACAAAGGTTTTATAACTATGTTGTAAGCTTTTCCTCCTAAGTTTCCTGAGGAAACTACCTTTTGTGGAATATAATTTTAAAGCCATTATGCCCGAAACGGATCTCCGAAGGCTTTTGATTCGGGCCTTCTTCAAGCCAACAAAAGATTTCACGGAATTGAATTTCTCTTTTCCATCCATTCAGAGAAGCCTTCGTTAATCTACACCTACACGTTAATTTGAGGAATACCATTATTTGTAATGGAGAAAAGTCTTGTACTCTTGTTCAGCTATACGCCACCGATCCGGTTTGTCGTCCAGACTATTCAGAAAGGTTGCAGATGGCTAGTTAAGCCCACTCGGAGACTTGTTGAGCATGAAATTCTGAAGTAGCTGAAAGCATTGAAATGATACAAGTTCGTAGGATCTTCAAGACTTGTCTATCAAGTAGGCTAACTCCTAAAAATATGTTCTCCATTGATCAGGACAACACTATAATTATAAGTTTTATTTGCAATGAACCTTTTTTTAAAAAAAAATAGTTATCTTTAATAATCAGTATTACAGTTTCAATTTGTCCGTAAGTCTGAAATCGTTAATTAAGTGTAAAATTATAAGTTTTATTGTGAAGTAAAAACTTTTGGTGGGTTTTATCCGATTACTTAATTAAGTTCTCAAGTTATCTACCAAGAGATCAAAATGATATTATATATTTAATAACCCCGTGATGAGGAATTTGAATTTTAATACTCTTTTTTTTAATTAAATTTATAATATAAGTATTAAATAATTATGAGTTTATGCAAGGTTTAATTTTGAAGAAACTTTTACTTTTATTTAAAGAGGTTTATTAAAAATAATTTTAAATTTTAAATTTTTTTTGCTTAAAATAATTTTTTTAATGTTTTTATATTGTTTTGATATATTAATATTAAAAATAATTTTTTTAAAATAAAAAAAAAACTTAATTTTAATGTATCTATAAACAAAAAGTATTTTAAACTGTCACGGCTACAACAATTCCAAATAACTTCTAAAATCAAGAAATATTTATCTCAAAAACTCCCCATCTTCTTTGTCAACATCAAGAAAAGCTCTATCTTTAATATTTTTTTCTTGCATGATTTTAAATTACTAAGATTTTAGTTGATTTTAATTTATTTTGTGTGAATAAATTAGATCAACATAAACATTCTCCTTTGTCCAAAAGAATTAAGTAACCAATAATTGGAAGTTGTTGTAGCAATATTCAACCTTATCTTTGAAGCATTGCACAGCAGAAAATTTCTTTCGCTATCTGAACATATCTTTTGAACCGAACCGATAATCAGTTGCATGTAACAATTTGGTCTACGCTGTCGTATGCTATTGTTTTTTTTTTTTTTCCAAGATGAGATATCACTCAAGTAAAGACGTTTCCATTGATTTTCTGAAATAATGCTCCACAACTAATTAATTATTATGTTCTTCTCCCTGGCGGATATTTGTCAAATTGTAATTATTTGTTTGATTACTACTCCTATAAACTTCATAATTGTGGATAATTAGTGGTCAGTTTTAATTTATAATTCCAGGAATTTATGGATCAATATATTCTTGGATCAATATAGTCTTCACATTCTAGAGGAGTTTTACTAGTTAAGCTGTATTAATTACATGTAGGAGACTTTTAAGATTATTAAAGAGGAATGGAACATGTTTTCCTCCAAATTGCAGGAATCAAACGCCATCAAAATAACATTTTCTTCTCCAAATTATGTCATATCGTGCATGTTTTTCAAGATTCAAAGTATATAGTTCTAGATAAGCCTCCAAAGGGTGGCCAAAAATAGAAGGGATTGTGGAAAATCCCAAAGGCATAGTATGTCTACATTTGCACAAGCTTCTAGTACTCTGCTTGGAAGCATTTATATATCTTCATATGGTGGAATTTTTATTATACAGGATGTCAAGTGAAATTGGCAGTTGAATTGTTCAAGGAAAATTGAGTTTAAGGAATAAATTGGCACTCGATCTACCTCAAAAATTAAATTTGTACAATGGCGAGTGAATTGACTGTTGTTAATTTACAGGAAATTTTAATTTAAGAGAGTGGAGTTCTAAAGAATGTTGTTACTCGAAAGGGTTTATACTCAGTTAATGAATAATGAATGATGGATCAAATAAATCTTATAGCTCTGATGATCATCTACGCGAAATTTTAATGAAAGAAAACAATTTTTGCCAAAAAAATAAAAATATATTTAACTCCATATAATCCTTAATATGTTAGGATTATATGGAGTTAAATATATTCAACTCCATATATATAGCTTTGAATTTTATGCTTTAAATTGGTTCGAGAAATAAAACAAGGAAAAAGCTAATGGTTGTCTCCAAGGCACCCATTAAACATTATCTTAATTTATTTATTAAATTTAATTTATTGTTGAGGTGTATTAAAAAAGTTGTAAAAAGCAAAGATATTTTTTTATTAAATAGTTTTTATTTTATATGGTAATATGTTTTTGTGTTTAAAATTAATTCAAATTTAGGCTGTTTGTTGGGGGAAAAAGAGAAGAACGAGCCCAAGTAGGTCAAGAAAGTCCAACTGTAAATTTTTATTATACACAATTATAAATCCTTAATTGGACTATGATCTTTCTTGGAATGGTATAAATTGTTATCTCCAAAATCTTGTGCGTTATAATATATTAATTCAGGCTCGCACAGCCACATTCCAGAGTCTAGACAAGTCTCGTAATTTAAGTTTTGGTACCTTATAATCTACTGCTAGTGTTGCTAAATTATTATAAAAGATAAGAATATTGACTGGAAACTATGGAAGTCAAAAAATCAAACGCCATCAAAATAATATATTTTCTTCGAAAGGCACAGCGTGCATGCCTGGTCTTTTCAATTGTCAAAATAGTTCTAGATCAGCCTCCAACGGGTGGCTTAAAACTAATAAAAGTAATTCAAACCCCATGACTTACTAATAATTATAATAAATCCTAAAATCCTTCTGTAATTCTTAGTTTACTTTTATATATTTTTAATGAAAGAATTCGAGTTCTAGACTTCAAAAAGAATTTGTTAATGTTGATTAAAATTCATCTCGTTAAATTGAAATAAACATGTTGATTGTGTTAATTATTTATTAAATATTGATTTAAGAGAAAATAATTTGAAGTTTTAGTGAACTAGATTATCTAATAGAATCATTTATCTTCATTTTCATGTTTATTAATGCTAGAATTAAAAATAGTAACCACAATATTTATTAACTCAAAAGTTAAAATAATTCTAGGTTGAAATCTACAATGATTAAAAATTAGCTTTGTTTCTTTTATTAAAAAAAACCTTGTGATTGTTCTTTTAAAAAAATATAAAACAATGATGGATTATATATATATATATATATATATATATATATAATAGCCATTTTTTTTGGATGAATTTTTTTATGGGCTATATAAACATGATATAGAGCGTACTTTTTTACTTAAAAAAATATAAAAGAATAATTATATATAGTGGCGGAGCCACATGAATACAAAAGGTGGCCATTGTTCTTTTAATTTTTTTAAAAAATAATTTTTTTGTTAGCTACTTATTAGCTTCCTTTTCTATACTAATTAGTTTTTGAAAATATTAAAGTTTATAATAATTTATGGATTTGTTGAATTAATATGTGTATAAATAATATTATATACTAAGGAATATGAAGTAAAATGAGTTTTAATGAATCAATAAGTATTTTGTTATGAATTTCATATGAAAAATAGTGATGATACTAGTAATTAAAAGTGAAGTACATAATAACTAAAAAATTGAGACATAATAAGTTAGAGAGTAAATGTGAAAAGGAATAAATATTGATTAAGATGGAGTTCTAGATTCAAGGTGGAGTTCTAGTGTCAATTATTCATAGTTGATTCATTACTCTGATCCCAAAAATTGCTGGAGCTAATATGCTTGAGGATTTTAGACCCATTAGCCTTCTTGGATGTCATTACAAAATTATTTCCAAGATTCTTGCTAATCGTTTAAAGAGTGTCCTGCCTGGACTTATTTGAGAATGTCAGAATGCTTTCATTTAGGGAAGACAAATTATTAGACAGCGTTCTTATTGCTAATGAGTCATCAGTCTTGTGAACAAATCTAAAAAGAAGGGTTTCCTGTTTAAGCTGGATTTCCATAAAGCATTTGATTTAGTTGTTTGGGAATATGTTGATGAAGAACTAGAAAAATCCCAACTTTGGTAGTCTTTTCTTCCTAATCCTTACCAGGCTTTGTGTGTTTGTTAAAGCATTATACTTAGATTTTCCTTATTGTGCAACTGATCTTCTGTTTTCTGTGATGGCTTGATTAGAAGGATAAACTATTAAAAATCTCAGCTTCTTATTTTGTGGTCAGCTCTTTGAGCTTTCTACTGTTAAATGGAATGTTAATGGTTCCTTTTCTGGAAAACCTGGTCCAACACGTACAGGAGGAGTCTTACGCGACCACATGGGATTGGTTATGGGCGTGTTTTCTATTTCAGTTGGGATCAAAGACTCCAATGAAGCAGATTTGATAGCGGTGGCAAAGGCATTAGAATTATCATCTTTGAGAGGTGATTTGTCCAACAAGAAAATT